GTGATGAGCAGAGTTGGTTTCCTTCAAACATGATGCTTGGAATTGAGGTTCATCAGACCAGAGACTATTATTTCTCACAGTCTGAGGGTCCTTTAGTTGCTTTTTTTGCAAATTCTAAGTGTGTTTTCATGTGTCTTCACTGAGGAGAGGATTGAGTCTTGCCACACCGCCATAAAGCCCAAATCGATGGAGTGTTGCAGTGGTGTTTGTCCTTCTGTAGTTTTCAACTATCTCCACATATGATCATGGAGCTCAACTAGAGTGACCATCAGGTTCTTGGTCACCACATTAACCAAAGCCCTTCTCCATCAGTTGCTCAGTTTGGTCAGGAGGCTCTTTTTACTCTACCATTATGGTGTATGGAGTGTAGATTGATGTGGAAAAAAAGTAATTTAAGGCAGTTTAGCATAAGGCAGCAATATAACAAAACGTGAAAAAATGATGGGGTATGAATACTTTCGCAAGGCACTGTAAAATCCTGGTCTTACTAAGCAGGACTCATCTGTGCATGTTAATCTAAAGAAAAATATCTTAAAACTTCATCAAAATATAGTAATAAGTTCTGCCTTTGAAACAACTGGTACTCCAAAGATGAATTTTCATTGAATATCTTTCAAAAACATCATATTTTTGAAGTGAAATGCTGTTTCATGCCGACTTTTCACGGGCCAACACCATCTACACCCCAAAAGACACAGACGGTTGCTACGAAAACAAAGAACCAAAGGAACGCTGCAAGAGACCATTAGTTCTGTAAACCACTAAAAACACACCCAGAAGGCCTGAATAAAATTATATGACAGCAGACAGCAGCCACAAGGAGTGCCACGTGAGGGAGATTCAACATGCCTGCTTGACTTACGTGCAACAGAGCTGAAATACGGGTGACTGCTGCCTAGATCAGAAAGAAAGAGGTTGCTTTAGAAACAGAGAAAGGAAAGAGGATGGATAGAGAGGGAACCTGATCCATATCGTCCAGACAGGATGCTCATTTCAATAGGGTACTGAAAAACTGACCCAAGAACAAATGGATAAAAGCATTGCATTGAATTTACTGTAATAAACAATGATTCATTCATTTCAATTAAGATTTATTCAGATCTGTAAAAGACTGGCTCACCTGCCTCGCGGACTTTATGAACGGTGACCCGTGGCTTGGCTGATGTGGTGATGGGTGTGGTCACATGAGTGGTTGTGGGCGGAGCTGTAGTAGAGCTCGGATCCGTCTCTTGAGCCTCTGTCACAGGTGACGCTGTGGAGTACGGTAGGTCTTTGAGATTACCTTGGGATCAAGGAAACGTGAATAGATGATGAGCTGCTACTGGTTTACCAGAAGATTCTGAACATGGATCCACACTATGCTAGGCCCTGCTGTGAGTGGCTTTAATCACAGTGTTTGTCAGACAGAGATCCTTAAGCATCAGTTCCATTTTTCTTCATTTAAGATTGAAGTTTGACCCTGGTAGAATCTCACATTAGCTGGCTCTTGCCTTGTCTACTCAGCTACAGGGGCGGACTTAGTGGTTTGGGGGCCCTAAGCAAATTTCAGGTATGGGGCCCCTACACAAAAACTATATGCTCTTTTGCGACAGCCCTGAATGTCAGCAGAGACCATGTCAACTAGATGAGCCCTAGAGACAGATCCCATCTGGCCAGAGGAGAACGGCACACTATTTCGCTTACTGGTTAAGTCCGCCCTTGCTCAGCTATTATACATTCCCTGGAAATCAAATCCATGATCTGGGCATTGTTAGTGCCAATCATTACTGTTTAAGTTAGAGGAAAGGTTTAATGACATAACAACACACATATGAGTATTACCAGTCGGCTAAAACCGCTTACCTGTTTTCACTGTGGTGGGTCTTGAGGGTACAAAGACCAGAGTGGATGGGTAGGTCACCCCCTTCTTTGGTTTACCCACTGACACACAGAACCAAAAGTTATAAATCCAATATTTAAAACAAATAAAAAATAAAAGTTAAGCATGTGAGAAAGTACTCGTCATGTGAAATTACTGTGTCTTAACTCTTTCCCTGCCAAACACAGAATTTTCAGTTATTTATAATACAATGCTTCCCCGCCAAAAACAAATTTTCCAGGTTTTCACTGTTATACACTTGGGGGCGCTATTATGCAGCTCCTGAATGAGTTCAGAATCTCTCGATCAAAAACACAGGCAAAGAAGACGCAGAAAGGAGCAATCTCATAAGCAAATGCATATGAAAAATAATGTAATCATCAATAATAAGCTACATATAAATGAAAACTGCCTAATGTTACCGAGGGAAATGTCGATCCAGGAAGTGGTAAAGGACTGTGCAAGCTTTGGGAGTGCTGATGGAAGCAATCTACTGCATCTTTGCTTTTATCATCATACTGAATATGATCCAGATGTAGTATTTGATAAAAATATGAATTTCTCAGCTTTTTTGTTCAAAATGTTAATGTAACTTATATACATTCAATTGTTGATAAAAAAAGAAATCTTGAAGCTAGAATAAAACAGTTTTTTGGTGTTGTTGTTTGTTTAAAAGTAGAGGCTCTGTTCTTTATTTTGATGTATTGCATGTTTAGATTTTCATACAACAAAATATTCTGGGGGCCTTGACATTTTTGAGAAAATTATCAAAAATGCTGTGGCTGGCAGCTTTTTTCAAAAACGCTGACGGGGAAAGAGTTCATATTCTGTTGGCATTTTTCTCTTTTCTATTTGATTGCTATACAGAGCCTGTTTGCCAATACATATAGGTGTTTTCCAACAGTGCTTGTTCAAAGTAAGGTCTGCACTACCTGAGACAGAAAAGGATTCTCTCCAGTTGGGTAAGGATAGAGAGCGGACACCGTTGGCAAAGCTACCCTTGTAGATCGCCTGTCCTGCCATCTTCATCACAATTACCTTTCCTCCAGAGTTAGTGATGACTCCACTGACAACAAAATAACAGCAAAAAACACCATGAATGTGAGATGTATTTATCTAAGGGATCTGTATTGATTTGGGTAGCTTTAATATCTTAGAGTGAATATTGAGTTAAAAAAATGCTATGTTGTGCATTGGCTGAATCAATTCAGCTGAGATTATGTAACATAAATTTGACCGAGATCCAATGGCAAAGATAGCCTGATCACTTCTGTGGGCGGTCTATGGAATAAGAATATAATCCAAACAAAATGCATTCCATCTGCCATTTACTGGCTGCATACAGTGGGGAAAATATTTATTTGATCCCCTGCTGATTTTGTAAGTTTGCCCACTTACAAAGAAATTAAGGGTCTGTTATTTTTATGGTAGGTTTATTTTAACGTATAGAGACAGAATATCAACTAACAAATCCAGAAAAAAACACATTATATAAAGGTTAGATATTGATTTGCATTCCAGTGAGTGAAATAAGTATTTGATCCCCAAGCAATACATGACTTAGTACTTGGTGCAGAAACCCTTGTTAGCAAGCACAGAGGTAAGACGTTTCTTGTAGTTGGTCACCAGGTTTGCACACATCTCCCACATGTGCACTGACTGATACACCATAGCAATTGACAAACTAACACAACCTCCTCAGCCGACATTATTTGTTGAAGAGGCACACACATTTTGTTCAGCTTTCCCTTTGATCCACCCATGTTATTCTAATCATTTATCAAGTTTTATAGGGTCAGAACTTGACCCATGAGGCCTTCATCTAAATTCTCCTACTCTCTAAACCTCTCAGGATGATGTGATTACACTTAACAACCATGAAACAGATGACTGACGATCAGACGCTACAGATGACAGATGTTCGCAAAGCAAAGAAGGCTGTGAAAGATCTCTAAAGCCATCTTCTCCCTTCCTGAGGTAGATCCATAGCATCATATACAGGTTTCCCACACTTTTTGACTACTAAAATGTTATGAAAAATCTCTGAAGAAGCTGCTTGTCGCACCCCAATAACTACAAAGGTCAACTGGAGTTGCAAGAACTTCTGCAGGTGCAAGAGCTGGTGTCATGTGGGGTAACAATGTTTGCTAAGTGTACATTTTTGCAAATTTCTTTTCAATTAGATTAGCAACTTGTGATTTCATCAAGAGAGCTCAAGCTTTTGCATAATATTTTCATTTGTCCTACTGATCATACATTAACACCAGGTGAACACCGGATCTCACAGACTGCAAACTGGTTGAGCTCACCTGTGAATGGCAGCATTGCAGATACTGGATATGGAGGCAAATACACCTGTCCCATACACTTTCTCCTTGGTCTCCCTGCAGTTAGCTGGACACTTAACAATAAACTCTGAGAGATTGATCTTCCCAGCCCGCATATCACATTCTATTGATGGCACAGCTGGAAAAGCAGAGGCAATGTCAGAAGAACATAATTTAGTGGCAAATGTCTCAAACATGCATATTACTATCAACATATTTATTGCAGCTACCTTGTTTTGGCTTTTTGTTCTTTCCATTTGGCTTTGCTCCACTGGAAGTCAGTAGAAATGCTAGGAACATAGGTCATACAGAACATAATACAAATGCAAATTACGAGACAACATAATCCAGGTTTTTTACAGTCCCTAAAGGCAAATAAGACAGCAATAAGACTATTCCTAGAGTAGTGCAAGAACTCAAAGTAGCAGTAAAATTGCAGACATGTGCAAGGGCTGTACATCTCTAAAATGAACACTTTTTTTTTTTTAAACGTGTTATTTAAACTTAAATGTAGGCTGTCCAATTACTACAACTGGTGCACACTCATTGATCTGTTACTAAACTGAATATATGGAGCAAGCTGCCATCTACAGTTTACTGAATTCTTGATTCTGATTGGCTGATGAACGTTCCAAGGTGTGCAATTATTTGTCAGTAAATGCGCAGCTATGAGGTAGTCATATCATCACCAATGAATTTTAGTTATTTCAAAGTCCATACAACAGCAAATGAACCAAAACCAACAAACGCACTGATCATACAAAGAAATATGACTAACAATAGGACAAAAATAGGACAAAATACTATTTCCATGGTTTCCCCACTTAATTATCTATGGAAAGTGTGTTTTCTCTCCCCACCCCACCCCTCTCTCTTTCTCTCACAATCTCAAGTGTGCATTGTTTTTCAACCAAAATTTGCCATAATAACTTTATATAAGTTTGGGCATGTCCATGAATTTCAACAATAAAAGTAACTATAAATGCTATAAACATTCTATTTGAAAACCAAGAAATGACATCTTTAAAGACCATCTGGTTAGTCTTTAAAGAAATATATGCAAGAATAATATCACTCTTACTGCTAAACATTTAGTCCCAACCTGCAGTGGTAAAGAAACAGCCTTCCAGTATCATCCTACTGAGAAATGATACCAGACATGATAGCTTGAAGAACGCTGAGTGTGTTAGTCAGCCAGGACTGTCATGAATAATTCAGGATGTCTGTTCATCCAAAGTTAATTTAGTGAAGAATCAGCAAATGCATATAGCAAAAAAATTATTTGAATGCATATAGGGAAGAAAAAAATTTAATGAAAACACAAACACAATTATTAAATGAAAAAATAAAATAAAATAAATAAATAAATAAACACACAAACCTACCTATAAAGACAGCAGTGAGAGTTGCTTTACTCATCTTGAGCTCCATAGCAGGAGTGTAAATCTGGTCAAATGTTCTCTTAAACCTCTGTATTGCTTCCTGTAAACATACAGAATAAATGTCAGGATCATGGACTGTTTGTGTCATGTTTTGCCCCTGTTTCTGTTCCCTTATTTGGTCATGTTCCTGTCCTCGTTTTGTTTATTAGTTTGATTAGTCATCCCATACACCTTTGTTTCCCCAATCACCCCCTGTCTTTTAATGTAGCCAATAAATATTTTAGAGCAGAGCTTAATTTAAAAAATGAAATTCACTAGAATTCCCAAGACAAATCAAGGCCTGGAAAACACCATATAAAAATTCCTTGATATTTAAGTTTTCAGTGAGCAAAGAAACTTTGAAATCAGCAATAAAATGAGCATACAGATAGATACTGTCAGGATCATGGACTGTCTGTGTCATGTTTTGCCCCTGTTTCTGTTCCCTTATTTGGTCATGTTCCTGTCCTTGTTTTGTTAATTAGTTTGATTAGTCATCCCATGCACCTGTCTTTCCCCAATCATCCCCTGTATTTAAGTTCTAGTCTGTGCAGTCTGTCTCGGTCGGTTCTACTTGTTATGTTCATTTGTTTCCTGCTGTTCCCAGTGTTGGATGTACCCTGTGTTTCTTGGATTAAAGACTGTTTCGTTTATTCCTTGTCTCCGTCGTTCCTAGCCATCACAGATTGTGACAGAAGAACCGACCAAAAACAGTTACCTCCGTGTTTTCCCCTCCGTTTGTTTTCTCGTTTTTCTCAGTGTTTTTGTTTCCATTGTGTTTCCCTCATGGATGCCCTCATTCGCCCGGAATTTCTCCGCCTCCTGCTGGAGCAGGGGGAGAGATCGCTCGAGGACCACATGAGACTGTTCCAGCTGCTAGCAAGCACCACCAGCTACCCAGATGACGCGCTCTGTGTATTCTACAACGCCAGTTTAAACACCGCGTACAGAGCGCCGTCGTCCGAAGATGGTCCTCGAGCGGATTTCACCGCGTTTGTGGAGTGGATTCTTGTGAGAAATGGATCGCCTCTCATCGTCACTCCTGAGGGTGATCTCGCCAGATCCACTCCGGACCCAGAGCCCAGCCCACCATCTCCCCGCTGTGCGGAGCTAAAGCCCAAGCCCACCGATGACGAAGAGACAATTCCAACCGCGATCTACAAGCCAGCGCAATGCCGAGCGGCTGAGCAGAGGATCGCCCCGGAAGTAGAGCCCAAGCCTTCAGACCAGGTGCGAGAGCTGGCGACAATGCCCGACATGAGGGGGAAAGCTGCGGATGGTGTGAGCGCGGAGAGGAGCTCCGCCCCTGCACCGCGGCTGAGGGTGAGCTGAGTATGGTGCGGCGAAAGTGCCAAAGTGAAGAGGAGAGGGCTCCAGCCCCCGAATCCAGTCCAGAGCGCCCTCCAGTGCCCGCTCCTAGAAAGCGCCCTCCAGTGCCAGCTCCTCGTAAGTGCCCTCAAGTGTCCGCCCGCGGATCTCCGGATCTCCGCCTCCGCCTTGGTCGCCAGAGCCCTCGGCTCCAACCTGGCCCCCCGGATCCTCGGCATCCCCCTGGCTCATTGGCTCTCCGTCTCCGCCTCGGGCTCCTCCACCACCTGCTCCGCCGCCGTTGGTCTGCCCCCTGGAGTCGGCGGCCATTCCTCCACCATGGCTCCTCCCTCCGTCGGCTCCACCATGGGTCGACATTATGGCTGTGGCCAGGGTCCCACCTGGCTCCTCCTCTGGTGCGAGCGCCGCGGGTCTGCCATCCTCCAGTGTCGCCATGACTGGAGAATCCCTCACCTCCGCCTCCAGCCTCCGAGGCACAGACTCCGCCTCGGCCCATAGACCCAGTGGCTCCACCTCGGCTCCTAGCTCCCTCGCCTCCACCGT